AAAGATTAATCATTGTTTTTACTATTAACGAATTTTGTCGACAAAGTGTATATGTCGGCAAAAGAATTTTTCGACAAAGTGACTGTCGGCAAAGTGTATATGTCGGCAAAACAATTTTTCGACAAAGTGGTGTCGGCAAAGTAATACGTCGGCAAAGTAACTGTCGGCAAAGTGATACGGACCCGTTAATATAATGCTTCGACGTATTGCCATGTATTTGGAGGCGAAAAGGTATACCTCGATTAATAAGTCGACATGTTGTGTAGTATGAATGGTTTGATTTTCGATCGATGTATGCTGCTACCAACACTATGAAAAAATTCTTCAATCTCGTTAGCAAGTGGTCGTAAAATATGACAGAATGGATGCACTGAAGCACAATAGTTGCTGCAAAACATTTCGTCATCATTAAAACGACCGTCTGATTTTTTTATTGTAAATACTCGTAAAGCTAATCGTTGTTATATCATTCCAACAATGAAAACTATATGTGGCTTCCTCTCGTCCCAAATAGGTAAAATATTTCTTCCGTTTATCTGTTGCGCCAAGACAGTCATAAATACTATCACCAGTTTGTGATATAGGCAAACATGAAAGTTTCGATGTATCGTTTAGAAAAACACAAGTGTGTTGAAATGGATGACAGGTTGAAGAAGGACAATTAACTTTATCAGTTCAATCATTACATAACCAAAATCGATCACATTTTGTACAGGTATTATTACATGGCCAATGTTGACAATCTGTCTCATTCATTTCAATTTTACCATCTATCAATATAGATATTACATCTGTTTTCCCATTATATAAATTTTGAAAAAGGTAATCATGGTACAGCATATTGTATTCTTTTTCATCTTCACCACATCTGCAATTTTTCTTTTGATCTTTCACAACTAACGATGCCAAGCACTGATCGTAATCGTCATTGAAACACTTAAAACGGTGACGCACATCACTAAGTGAACAACTTTGATTATATGTTTCATCATCACCAAATGAACAATCATTTAAGCCATCAAGAAGACGAAATTTCGAAATGTATTTCGCCGAGTTCTGACATTAATACATGATTGGATAATTACAATAATGTTGCTCGTGAGCAAATATTAAACATGCACGAAATCGTTCTCGAACATCGTTGAACACCGTTTCGAGATTATCATAGGACTCGGTATTTTTTAATCCTAATTTATTAAAATGGCAACAAGTCAAATTACTAAAGTGTGTGCTGTAACAGGAAGAAAGTCGCCACAAAGTTTTTCATCATAACACACATAAGCAGGAAAAAGAATTCCGGTCGATTCGATTGGCGTATTTGTAAACAAAAAGCGTACATGTCCGAATAGAAAAGAAAGATAGTGAAACTCAGATCATTGAGTAATTATTTTTTGTGCAACTTGATTTTTTACAAAATTTCTTGCACCATTTTGTATCAATCATACCCATTTGTGTCATATAACAAACCGTAGCATTAGAACAAAAATCAGCAGGTAAACGGCTGTATCGATCAATTTTACATTTGAATATTCCATTCGTAAACTGACCATCACCGCACGAAAACTGTTGAGTTCCTGGATGATACATACGTTCTTCACATTCACACTGAGGATATTTGTAACAAATATATCGATAATATTGATCAAGAGGTTCATCTGTATCATCCAAATATTCTAAGTATATTTTCATATCACGAAGAAACTCTACTGGAATATATTGACCATTGTGACATCGATATTTATAATCAGCACATTCATTTATTTCCAGTCGCCAACAATGTTCCTTGTTCGAACCATCGAAGCAATCATGTTTTCCGTCATTAATCTGACGCCAATACAAACAAGAAAGTAATGTTTGACAGCACAAGTGTTTATAACATGTCACTTTGGGGTCTTGAATTGTTCAGATTTTTTGAGAAAACAAAAAATCGACGATATCACTGAATATTTCGTTGATTTTATAGTCAAATGAAAAACAACAGACAGGTACAAGCGTAGAACAAGACGTCTTGTCCTGATAATGAACTTGAATAGCCGCCCAAAAATATTTGATATTGTTCAGTCAAATCCATAGACGCTGACTATGAAAATAACATGTGACTACTAAGATTTTTCGTTTTTAATTCAGCAAAAGTATAACTGGAATCGGATGTATATGTAAAGTTCATGCATTAATAGAATTATTTTCTTGTGATGTTCGAGGACAATATGAAATTTTCTTATGTATTGTTGAGATCAATTCCCTATTTTGATTACCTCTACTATATTTAATGTATAAATAGACAGTATTGATCTTGATGTCTACCTGTATTGTACATATTAAATTGATATTGGGGCAATGATTGTATTTGCCATGTCATAAACATATATAATTGTAGCATATTATAAAGAAAATATGATTGTTGTTCTTCTACTTATTTTCTTTTCTTTTAACATGATATTATGTGTCACGCCCAACTAGACTATCAATGGGTTTGATGATTGTTTTTTTTTGGAAGGCGACAAAAATCAACTAATAGAAAAGTCATTGTCTACAATTATTGACAGAATATTGTTTTTTTGTATTATGTTGATATTACAGTTTGAATCATTCATTGTAATATAATAATACGAGTGGTCAATTTAATAGATGGTGCAATTGAAATTCAGACAAGAACCAAATAATTGTTTTTAATGGGATGAAGTACTTTTATTTTGATAGTAATTCAATTACAAGTCAAACTCTAGCTACTGATTGTTGCTTCAATTGTTCAGAAGTGGAATTCAATAGATTTAATTCTTCGAAAATTTGATTTTGATCAAACGTATCGTTGAAACCTCAAGTAGTAGGCCAGTTTGATTGATAGGACGAATATACAGTGTGAAATAGATTCATGCATCACATTCAATAGATCTTGACACATCAATTTTCATCAATGTGATGATCATGAAAATTGAAAGTGGATGTTAATGCGCTGAATTATAGGTATTCATTGAGACATGCGCTCACCACAGTGTTCACCATCGTTAACAATTGTTATCTCTTGGTGTTACATGAAAACAACTGGGATGCACGTGAGTATGATTGAAGAGAAGGCTCACATCTTCAGATGTCTAGACATTATGGGTCTTATTCAGGACTGTGCATAAACACGAAAAAAAAATGAATATGATGCTGAAGATAAACAATAGATTTTTATACCGGGTGAAAGTTTGCATTCAGGCGGCTTTGAGATATGTTCTATTTTAAAGCATAACAATTTTTCTTACAAATTTTAAGTAGACTGAAACAGCCAGATCTATTGAAAGCCAGTCTTACATTTGAAATCAGCACGCAAAAATGACATCAGATGATGTATGACACAAGATATTTCTTAACCAAAAATTGAGAGCAAGAAGTTCGGCTTAGATGTTTTTCACCGAAAATTTCTTTTTTTTTCCAAAAATATGTTCTTTTCTAGAGAATTATTTTCTCAGTGATATATATAGTCACTGCAGAGCAAACGAAGATCGTTTTCAAGAAGCGAAAGTTACATGGCAGACTTTTGATATATCGAGGATTTCAAATCGTCTGTCTAGATCAGTTAATGTTATCTATTGCCGATATTATCTCCAAACATTCTTTTTTCGTATTATCATAAGACCGAGGATGACTTTAAAATTTGAATATCTCTGAGTGATAAAATTTCTATCATTGGTAGACCAATCTCCATCTAATACTCATGAACGTATGATGACGGTTTATGCTGACCAACACTCCATCACACACTACAGCTACTGAATGAAATTGTAATCTTATTAAAACGGTTAGAAGGTGAGTCACCGAAAAATCTTCAAATCGCAAATTAGCATATAGCGGATACTTAGCATTTCAAATGCATGGTACATGTGACTAAAATCTGTTCAAGATGAATGTCATATTCAATGGTATCCGAAAAGCTATGCATCGTTCATATATCAATACTCACTTATCCGTCTTTAAAAAGACGAGTCTATTCAGAAAATTATAGTGGGTGATAGAGCATTGTCTCTAAAAAAATTATCATCATATGTCATATGAGGTGACCCAAAAAAGGCATACAGATAACAATACTAATGCAATGATACTTCTTGTTATTTTTATATACAATCAGTTTCGAAACTTTTTGAATCGTTCTCATATCATCATAATTATTCATAGAAATTTGAAGCACTTTATAGTTGAACATGTTCTCTTTCATAATATTCATAAATAAAAGCAGTTCGAACAAAGTTATCTTTATTTTTGAAATGAAAAATGTTTATTTTTATTAACTTTCTTCATAGAATGTATATATATATATATGTATAGGTAAATAAACACACGTTCATCAAATCGAAGAGAGAACCAATGATGATGAAGAGAATTTTTTTTCCTAACATACCATCAATTGGTCTTTTGTTGTTTGTGAAATTGAACCTTGATTTTTTTTTTTGTAACAATCCGTCTGATGAAAGAAACACAAACGAACAATATAGCAAACGAAATAAACGTACAAAGTAGAAAGAAAATCACATGGGATAAAAAAACAAAAAGGGCAACAGAAAATGTTTTACAGAAAAAAAAAAGAAGACGATAGAAAGAAAAAAATTCCCTTCCCTTTGTCAAAGACGAAAATGAAAGAATTCAGTGTTTTTCTTTGTTTCTTTAAAATAAAATTCAATATGATTTACATATTGATAACGAAACAAAAGAAAAACATCATGAAATGTATCTGACTGTAATGCACAGAATAGAATAAAAACAAAGCTTGATGATATGCTTGCAAAAAAAGTTGTTAGTTTTTGTCGAGCTTTTTTTTATACACACACACACACACAAATAAAGAAATAAATATGATGATGACGAATAAGTAAAATGGATCATAATAAATACTGAAATAATCTTTATTCTAAGAATGAACAAAAAATTTTTGTTTTTTCTCTAATCTCTTTTCTTTTTGGTTTTCATCTAAGATAATTTAAATGTCCATATGCCTGATCATCATCATCATCATTATTTTTTTTCGAAAATTGCTCGAGTTGCTCTGCAATCAATAGAAACACCTGATAATGACTCATCAATCAATGTAATACCCAATGAACTCAAATGTTTTTGACATATTTCATTCGACTCATAAGCCAACATCTGAGTAATAGCTTCAATTGGAAATGATGGAGCAAACCTTAAGAAAACAAAATATTTTAATTATAAGAATATTTTTTACTGAAATTCTTTTATGTAAGAGTATAAGCTAATTAATATGAATAAACGTATTCTGCAAAAAAATATTAAGCATAGTTATGTGTTATTTTAATTGATATACAATTGTAAAAACTGATTGTTTATCACAAAAATCGAGTTTAAATATCAATTATTTAATCTTTATAGTTCTTATTATGAATATCTTTTTGATTGGACTCAAATCATAAAATTAAATTGATTCTCTCTATCGAAGAAACTTTCCCAAGTGACACCCATCGTTTGAACTCACATTAGATCTACAAATAGATCTTACTAAAAATAGCAAAAGCCTAAAAGTTCGTTCCCATTGAATTTTGACGCCGAATGATGATAGTCGAGAACAAAAGTTTCTTCATTGAATTATTAAATGAATTCAATTTTTGAGACAAAAAGGTTAATTTTGGAAATTTAAAATCTTGCCAAAGAAATATTCTTTTCAACTGAAGCTTTCAGGATATTCAACAAGTCAATACATCGACCTTCCAATTAGTACGTAAAAATGGGTCAAAAATCTAATAAATCGATCACAATTCGGTAACAAAGACTCATGGGAACGAACCTTTTCAGGCTTTTGATATTCTCACAGACACTTACCTGTGGATCCAATATGAGCTGAGACAGCGGAAATTAGTTGAGGTAGTTCTCTCGTATGCTCGATAGTAGCTCCGAATTTTACTACTAACATTCTTAGACAGTTTTAATGGTGACTATATAATAATCAAATCATAATTGACTACTAATTTTTTGATTATGACCCTATTGGGTCAGACTCTAGTCTTTAGTCTCTCAAATTCTAATGAGAATGGAATACCGTTCCCATATTTATATATGAAAAAGTAAAAATCTTTTCATTTTTTTTTTAATAATAACTTACCCCCAAACTAAAGCTTTGAGCACCTGTTTCCGATAAATATCAATGAAGAGATTAACTAAACAAGAAGCAAGTTGGGGTAGGGACCTATAGATAATGAAGAAATGAATGTAATTTTTTCGGCGAATGGCCGTGCAGAGTTCTAGTGCAAGATCAATATGTTCAATATCTTTTGATTTGCTCTTCCCGTTTGCTGCTGCTGCTATTTTTACTGTATCAATATCAATTAAAATTCGATTTGTTTCTAAACAGAAAAAAAAAAGCAAAACAATCAATTTAATTTAAACTAAATATCTCTAAGCAAAACAAATTCTTCAATCTTACTTTTATAATCATTGAGCAGCAACGAGTAGAGCAAACGATAAATAAGAAATTCATTCAAATGTGTACGATTACAACCATTATCATACAATGTTTCTAATTGTGTTTGACATTGATTAAACTGTTCACGATCACCCTTAACAAACAAAAAAACAAAACTTATATATTAAAGATCACATTGGATAAAATAATTTATCCTTCATTTAAAAAAACTATCTATATTGTTTTGCATAGCAATGCATAGAATAATATATGACCGAATACTAAAACTCACTAGGGAACCTTCCAAGGTGCGGGAGCGCTTTTCAATTGGGGTTTCGTGCATCTTGTAGCCCGTAGTGAGTTATGCTTACGGTAAAAAAAGTTCGGGTTTCTGGCTTGTTTCTAAGGAGATATCGAGCTCTTAGTGAATTTTCTCTATTGTATGCCTACAGTGGCAGCAAAGCTATTCTTTCGAATTTTGACCTGAAACTTTGCCTGCATAAAGACCTCAGCTAAACTAGTTTGCATAAAAAATTTCAGAAGTTTTGAATAAAGTCTCTCTAAGATATGAAGCTTTGAAAAAAATGCATACTATATATATTATTGATGAAAAAGGGACTATACCTTGATAGTTTCATATCTTAGAGAGACTTTATTCAAAACTTCTGAAATTTTTTATGCAAACTAGTCTAGCTGAGGCCTTTATGTAGGCAAAGTTTCAGGTCAACATTTGAAAGTATAGCTTTGCTGCCACTGTAGGCGTACAATAAAGAAAATTCACTAAGAGCTCGATATCTCCTCAGAAACAAGCCAGAAACCCAAACTTTTTTTACCGTAAGCATAACTCACTACGGGCTACAAGATGCACGAAACCCCGATTGAAAAGCGCTCCCGCACCTTGGAAGGTTCCCTAGTCAGTATATCTCTGAATCAATATACATAAAATTTTGTTGCAGTCCAGTCTTCCATCATGCATATCTAATAATACTCACAATAGCTTTCTTGGTAACCAAAATTTTAGTATTTTTACTACTTTGTAGAAATTTTTCAACCCTGTTCGTCAGAGAAAATGTGACAAAACATGCAGCTTTCTCATAAATTATGTACTAGCAAACTCTATAAGTATATCAATTGATTATCCGCTACATTAAAGTCAGATTGGGCAATTATTCGAGTCTAATAGACAGAAAAAATTATCTATTAATAATAAGTTCATCATGCCCTATATGGATCTATCAAAAATGGCAATTTTTTCCATATGATTCGAATAAGCTGTTTTGACTATCATCTACAACAATTTATGACAAATTTCTACGGTTAATCGCTTTTGCTATAAAGCACAGCATCGAAGCATTTCCAAAAAATAAGTAAGCTAGGAAAAATAGTAATATTTTGTGTACTAGAAAAGCTATTCTAAGAATTATTAGATATGCATGATTGAAGACTAGACAAAACAAAATTTTATATAGATTGATTTAGGTATATACTAACGAAGGCCCTCTTCAAATGAAGTATGATGATCTCATTCAAAAGGCTCGTTTAATTTTGTTTTTTCGTTTCTATAACAATATCTATTTACCATTTCAAGTGCTATACGTGCATTTTCTTCATAAACTAAGACTGTAAAATCATTACGTATTGATTGTACCATAAGATCTTGTCGAATACTTTTTAATTGATCACTTATATATGACCAATCTTTGTTTAATCTATACTTATCCATAACAAAAGAAAAAGCACGTTCAAGAATTGATAATGGACGAATAGTTGATGGATCAGCTTCCTAAAATAAAAACAAAACAAGAACATTTAATATTATATTTTTTTTTTTGATTATCAATGTATAACATACACTTGTTAAACGTAAATAATTTTTTTCCAATTTTTGACATGTGCCTACCAAGGCTTTGGTATTATCACTTACTATACTTGATGGACTCGGTGCTTGAATCTAAATATATGTATATATATAATTTAAATAAATGCAAAAAATATATATAATAACTTACTGGTTTGATAATTGTTGGTGTTGTTTCATTAGTAAAACGATTTCGTCGTTTTTCTAAACGTTCACAATGTTCTGGTTTCGGTCTATGAATAAAAAAAAAAAACAACATTGAATTTTTATTTTTTTTTTGTTTAAATATTATTTACTCTTCTAATTGCATTTTTTTATTTGCTCGTTTTGCTCGACGAGGTTTTTTCGAACGTTTACGACCACTACTCATCTGAAATTGTGGACTTTGCATATTTCTAATAAAATATAAATATATATATAAAAGATTTGTTATTTTTCTTTTTTTTGTTTTACTTAGTTCGATTATTTGTGTCATTATTACTTGATGAAGATGATGATGACGATGATGATGATGAACGTTTACGTGATAATGTACTCTCATTATTATTATTATTATTATTATTATCATCGTCATCATCATCATCATTATTTCCAAAAGCACGTTGAACAGATTCGGATGCTACGTGACGAAGTTTATTTAAACGAAATAAATCTTCACGTTGTTTATTTTCAGCATAAGATGATTTAGCTATTTGAAGTAAACTTGAATTTGTTGAATCAAAAGTATTTGAACGTACATTTGATGATGAATCAGATCGAAGAAATCTAAATCATAAAATATTTAAATATAATTTTCATACACAATAAAGAAATCCAAAACAATTCCTTTCATCATATCTTTTTTCCTACGAGTCTGAATTATAACTATGAACAATCAAAACAAAAAAGTACGTATGTTCTCAGTATCATAATGATGCTATGAATACTACTTAGGGGTACCCAAAAGTAGTGGCGGTCGCATCTCAATTTCGTATAGAAGGCTTGATGAAATTTTCTGTTTTTATGAGATGATAGAGAAAACGAAGCTCTATTTTTCTGTGCTATTTTATCCCTATTCAGCTGGTATCATAATAATGAAATTTCGATAAAAACTGTTTTTGTGTAAAACTTCACTAACGGGTGAAACAGATTAAATGTTTCCATTACTTAATACGTTGTATTAAGAAAG